AAATTTTATTTAATAATATTAATATTATTTTTACAAACATATCAATTACATGATTCGGTATATATTTGCAAGGCAAAGAGATCTTATTTATATACACTGTGTTAATCATAACTGACAATCTCTTTGTTTTTGTTGTTTAATAAGGAATAAAATCAAAATTTACGTGCACTTTATTTTCATCTAACAAAATTTCCAAAACTCAATTTGTCCCATAGCCATCTTGGTCGGGATGGCAATGAAGCGGTGCATGTTTGAGATCATGCGGGGCGGGTGCAGGGCGGGGCGGGGCGGGTTAGAATATTTTTTACAAAAATTAACGGCGGTTGCGGGATAAAAATCATGTGAGACGAGCTCTTCAATTTCAAGCAAATTTGCCACTGAATATATAGATTGTTGGAGCATTGCTTCTTATACTTTTCTTTAAAATGAGATTTTGGATGTTTAATATATTAAAAGGCTGTGGTTATTATATTAACTGGAAAAATCTGGTTTTTCTCTTCCTCTTTTTTTTTTCGTTTTCTCATTCATCTTTTTTGTTCCTTTTTTTTTTGTTTTGAAATAACGCTGCTGTTGTTAAATAAAAGAACAATAAGAAGAAACAAAGTCGATACAGTAGCCAAATCTGGAAGTATGAATTTTTAATAAGACTAAATAATAGTAATATATAATTAGCATAGCTAAAATATCAGTGTAACGAGCAATAAATAGATGAGAAGATTTGGTAATTAACTTAAATAATCAAACTTAGCTAAATTAAAGTTGCACAAAACTGAAAATTTCAAAAACAAAAAGCTTATAGAAGAAATCGGAAGTTTTTTGCTAAGGTGGGGCGGGTTGAAAACAAAATTTTTGCTATGCGAGGTGAAGTTTTGCGGGTTGAATCTGAACCCGCCCCGCAACCGGCACTGCCATCTCTACATCATGGTAAAGAAATCGCTCTTGCTTTCGCTTTGACCAGAAATATGAGATGAAAAATCCCACCCTCTTTGCCATAGCTTTGGGATTCTGTCACATGGTAATGAATCGTTTGAATTCCAAGACAAAAAATATAAAGATCCAAAATACTTTTTCATATTTGTACAGATATTTGATTCTTCTCAAACGACTACTTCTTTCCTCTATAGTGCAAGTTTTTTTCTTTTTCTCCTCCTTTGAATCTCTGCAATAGAAAGCTATGCTATTATTCGCCCAAGAGTCAGACAGACCCGTGCTCCCTCCTCTTTCTCTTTTTTTAGTTCCTGATTTTGAATTTCAAACTTAACACCCTAACCCTAAAATTTTCCTATAAATACCCGCGTTAATTGAGCGTTTAAGAGATAGGTTTTCAGCCGTCAACATTACTGTTTGATAAACTTCTCTACCACTCAAAAGTCCTAAACTACCACTTCATTGCTCTCGGATCTTCTGTGTTATAAATGCTTTAATTGTAGGCATCATGTTAATTTCTTCAAAATCTTAATTATTATATGAATGCCTACTACTAGAAAATTATAATGCAGTTCTAGCAAGATACTTTGGGCTAAAGACATTTGGGTTGCATCGACTCTCAAATTTTCAGCATTCTGATATGCTATTACAAGTGTGAAGATGTTATATCTCAAGTTTTTTTATCAGAAAACCTGTAAGATACGTTCAAAATCTCCAAACGGTTGCATATCCTATAGCCTTTGGTGAGTTGGAAAAGGCTAAACAATTAGCCACATAAATTAAAAAAGAAAAGGCCGGCTTGGTTCTATTTTAATAAAAAACTGTTGCTTTTATAAATTAAGGCACTTAAGAGAGATTAATGAGAAGAGTCATTGAAGTGATTTCTCTAATGCAGCTAATGGCAAAATTTTAACATAGAGTCAGACGACTTGATTTTTGTGCCCCTCTTACCTTTTTTTTCTTATTACTTTGTTGACTAACACTGAATTGGTGTCGTGCAGTTATACATTTAGTTGTTCAATCAAGCAACTAACTACTCACATTATCTGTTCAAAAAAGAATGATAAATTTTTATATTTGGAAATAAGTTAACTTTAAACGTTTCATTTTACATATTTTATATTTGAATATTGTCTTGATTATATAAATGGACATTTATTTTTGATAAGAATACACATTGGGCCTAACTCAACCCCAAAAGCTAGCTTGTGAGGTGAGGATTGCCCAAGCCATATAAGGAGACCAAGGACCTCAACTCCCACCGATGCAATGACATGGTTACCTCTTGGTTGCTGAACTCTTTGACAAAAGAGATAGGTGACAGTGTCATTTACTCAAGAACAGCTAAGGATCTTTGGAGCAGTCTGGAACACAGATTTGGTCAGTCTAGTGGAGCCAAGTTGTACAATCTGCAGAAGGAAATTTCAAAAACAATCCAAGGAAACAGCAGCATATCAGCTTATTTCACCACACTTAAGAGACTTTGGGATGAGTTGGACTCTCTTAACTCACATTTAGGATGTACTTGTGCATGTAATTGTGATGGTAAAAGGAAAATGGCTAAATTCATGGAAGATCAGAGGGTGATTCAGTTTCTAATGGGCTTGAATGATGTTTATGCACAAGCAAGGGGAAATGTACTCATGCTTAGTCCTACACCTAGCATGGATCAAACTTACTCACTGTTGCTACAAGATGAAAGTCAAAGGGAGATTTACATGAGCCCACAGTATCCTACTGATGGAGCTTCTTTCATGGTAGGAACACAGAACAAGTTTTCACAGAAAAGCAGCCAAGCACAGAAGGGGTGAAATCCTTAACAAAAGTCAGTTAACACACAGTATAAATCCAAGCCAAGGAAGTCCAAAATCAATCTAAATGTCAGTTGCATCCATTGCTCAAAAATAGGACATGTGAGGGCTGATTGTTATAGGCTTATAGGATTCCCTGATGAGTTTCAATTTACTAAGGGTGAAAATCTTCAAGGAACAATAAAAGCAAATGCTACAGTAGCAGACCAGCAGGGAGATGGACACTCAGATGAGCACAATGGAGGAACTACAAACAATCAAACTCAGTTTTTCAGTAAAGAACAGGTTACTGAACTGGTGAACTTAATCAAGCAGGTGCAAATTGGAAATTCAGGAAGTGGATACTCAGAAATTAGTGTCAATGCTGTTGCTGGTACTATTCTTAAATACTCAGGGACATGTCTTGCTGTTTTTAATACTAAAACCTGGATTATTGACTCAGGTGCCTCAGAACATATGTGTTTTGATTCCAAATCTTTCCTAACTTTATCACATTTGCCTATGCCTTTACATATAAGTTTGCCTAATTCTTTTCAACTCTTTGTCACACACATAGGACAAGTTTGCATTCAACCTGATATGATTCTAGACAGAGTACTCTATGTTCCATCTTTTATTATGTACTCAATTCCAATGCATCATCAACCTTACTTCTAGCCAATGTCTTTTGCAGGTCCCTTTAATGAGGAGGGGACAAGTTTTTGGTGAAGTAAAAGATGGTTTATATCTACTCCAGTCTAGAAGTTTAGAGTCTAGAATTCAATTTAGTCCAAGTGTAATTCTTATTCCAAAAGGAAGTGATTCCAGTTTAGTATCTAGTAAAGCTTCTTTTTCTATTCCAGTCTTTGCTAGTGCTGTTTCAGATGTAATTCAATGGCATGTCAGGTTGGGACATTTGCCTTTTTCAGTAATGAGAAAACTCAGTTTTGTTCATTTTCCTTCAAACTTTGATAATGTGTGTGAAATTTGTGCTAAGGCAAGGCAAACTAGGCTTCCTTTTCCCATTAGCCAAATCAGGACTAAATCTCCTTTTGATCTCATTCATATAGATACTTGGGGACCTTTTAAGACTACTACATACAATGGTTACAATTATTTCTTGACCATAGTTGATGATTTTAGTAGGGCTACTTGGACCTTTTTACTAAGTACCAAGTGCAATGCTTTTCCAGTCCTGAAGTCTTTTCTCTCTATGGTAGAAAGGCAATTTAACAAGCAAGTAAGGAGGGTAAGATCAGACAATGCTTGGGAATTGGGAAAGGGAACACATGAGGCTAAATTTTTTCAGGAACAAGGGATTATTCATGAAACATCTTGTGTGTCCACACCTCAACAGAATGGGATAGTAGAGAGGAAACATAGGCATCTTCTGGAAATTGCAGGGGGTTTACTGTTTCAGTCCAAGGTTCCTCTCCAATATTGGGGAGAATGTGTATTAACTGCAACATTTTTGATCAACAGATTCCCTTCCAAAGTGTTGCAAGGGAAGACACCTTATGCAGTTTTGTTTGGAAATGAACCTACCTATGAAGCTTTGAGAAGTTTTGGATGTTTATGCTATGTTTCAACTCTATCTCAACACAGAGATAAGTTTGCACCCAGAGCTAAGGCTTGTATATTCTTAGGGTATGCACAAGGTCAAAAGGGTTACAAAGTACTGGACAGAGAGACAAAAAGAGTGTTTGTTTCCAGGGACATCAAATTTCATGAAGATTTCTTTCCTTTTCATTCACCACATTTTACTACCTATTTCCCTCCTTGTTCTGAGTCTACTAACCATAACCCTACACTAGATATGACATCACATTTCATCTCACCTTCAGGTCCTACCCCTGATTCTCCTTCACACAATCTTCTTCCAGTTTCCTCACCTCATTCTCCTAATCTTGACATAGTTTCTACACCTATTTCCAGTCCTAACTCACTCCCTGACCCTGACCATTCACCAATGCTAGAAGATTCCTATACTCCTTCAAATTCACATATTTAACCAATGTCCAGGAATGTTATTCCTACACCTCCACCACCAATTGGAAATCTGAGAGAATATCTCAAAGACCTACCTACCTGCAGGACTATGTGTGCAATGCCATTATCCTTTCTGATCTCACTAGTTCCTGCTTCACACAACCTCTCACACCTACTGTTTTTTCTTTTAGTGCTCTTTCTGCCACCAATCAACATCTTGTTCACTCTCTCTCCACCATATCTGAACCTAATAGCTATGCACAAGCCTCCATTCACCCAGGATGGAAAACAGCTATGGAAGCAGAAATTGCAGCATTACAATTAAACCTCACTTGGGATGTGGTAGATTTACCTACAGGGAAGAAAGCCTTACCTTGTAAATGGGTATACAAGGTAAAATATCACTCAGATGGGCCTGTGGAAAGATTGAAAGCTAGGTTAACAGTCAGGGGGGACATTCAAAGGGAAGGAATTGATTATTTTGAAACATTTTCACCTGTGGTGAAGATGACAACCATCAGGTGTCTTTTAACTGTGGCTGTGAAGAAAGGTTGGGAAGTGTCACAACTTGATGTGAATAATGCATTCCTACATGGAGAGTTGCAGGAAGAGGTTTACATGAAATTTCCTGCGGGTGTCTCTCCACCTAAACCAAATCAGGTCTGTTTGCTGAAGAAATCTCTCTATGGGCTAAAACAAGCCTCCAGGCAATGGTATGCCAGACTTGCCGGTGCTTTGAGTTTTAAGGGTTATTCTAGCTCGCTCAATGACTATTCTCTGTTCTACAAAGTGAATGGTGACCTTGTTTCTATCCTAGCAGTATATGTGGATGACATCCTACTCACAGGGGATGATGCTACAGAAATAGAACATATTACTGATTTTCTTCATTCAGAATTTAAGGTGAAACACTTAGGTAATATTCACTATTTTCTGGGCATGGAAATACTCAGAGAAAAACAGGGGTTCATCATCAGTCAAAGGAAATTTACCTTGGAATTACTGCAGGAGTTCAATTGTACAGGAACTCGGATCTCTTCACCACTGGACCCTTCCACTAAGCTTCAGGCAGATTTGGGACCTCCTTTGGATGACCCAACCCTTTATTGCCATTTAGTTGGTAAACTCAACTATCTGACGAATACTAGACCCGACCTCTCTTTTGCTGTTCTATCTCTGAGCCAATACATGCAAAAACCTTGTCTTTCTCATCTTTCTGCTGCTCAACGTGTCTTAAGATATCTTCGCACAGATCCCTCACAAGGCATTCTATTATCTTCCCATCCCTCTTTTGATTTAATGGCCTTTTGCAATGCTGATTGGGCAGCCTGTCGTGTTTCTCGTCGTTCAGTGAGTGGATTTTTCATTACCCTTGGAGGTGCACCCATTTCCTGGAAATCCAAGAAACAAGCCTCCATCTCTATGTCATCTGCCGAAGCTGAATATCGTTCAATGCGTCGAGTCACGACAGAAATTACTTGGCTTGTTCGTCTTTTGGCAGATCTCACAATACATCCTACATTGCCCGTGCCTCTTTACTCTGACAGTCAAGCTGCGATTCACATAGCTCGGAACCCCGTCTTTCATGAATGAACCAAACATGTGAAATTGGATTGCCACTTTGTTCGTCAACAATTTTTGTCTGGTTTGATCTCTCTCTCTTTCGTTCCATCGGAATCTCAGCTCGCCGATCTATTTACGAAACCCTTATTTGGGGGTTCTCATCGGAGTATTTATGCAAGCTGGGGGTCCATTCTCTCCCCTCCACCTTGAGGGGGGATGTTGAAGAACAGAACCCCCATGACAATTTAATGGATGAAGAAGTCACAAAAGAAAAGAAGAAGAAAGAAGCAGGCGATGCAATGAAGAAGAAGGTATGAAGCTTCGGAGTTTCCAAAGGAAACTTTGGACTTATGTCTGAAGTTTTAGTGATACATAATGTGTCAACATAATAGCCCTTGATATTGCAATCCTAAGCTCTAATCTTGACCGTTGGATTAAAAGGAAAAGGCAAATCTGGGCCATTCATTTAATAGAGCTGATGATACACTTTAGAACCTTCTACACGTGAGTGAGCACATGCTCACATTGTAAAGAATAATTTTTATTAAGTTAGTTATACAATTAGCCAATAGAAAATAGGACAAGTGAATAGGAATATTTTATTTACATTCTTTGTATCTATAGGATATGGCTGTATATAAACAACAGAAGTTCTGTGAATAAACTTACAGAGAAAATTTTCACAAATTTCAGTCTTTCTTTCAATTTTGAACCAAAATAAAAAAACAAATTGGTCACTTATTGTGGACCGGAGGAAGTATCGAATTCAATGCCAAAAGTAATTAAGTCAATTAGTTCAGGATACACTCGACGGGTAGCATATGTTGGGATTCTTGTGCATGCGTGCACACATAAAGCACATAACCATGGTAGAAAGGATAGCAGCGGGATTTGGACTCACATTAGACTCGCACCAATGTCATTGAGGTATAAAGAAAGCAGCTTCTCAAATTTTGGAAGAAACAACAACAAACAAACAAAGATGATCTTGCTAATTAAACTCATTATACAAATTATTGCTCTGTTTTTAACTCCATATTTAGTCCAAGACCTCTTCAATCCAAGATACTAGTTGTTCTTGAGCGTCAAGAGGAAGCTACTCCCTTGTCCAATATCATTCTCATGCAGAAATTTGAGAAAATCTGAGAAGCTGCTTTCTTTATACTTGTTTGGATAGTCTTCATCCACTAACTCTTTAGCTGTCTCCATTTTCTCATCCATTCCCAAGCTATGCAAACTAGAAACTGAAATTCTTGTCTTTTGAGAGTTTAAAGTAACTCTGTGTACCACACTTTTATACAAGCCATTGCTTAGTACTTCAAGATGGTCACCTACATGGACTTGTAATGTACCCTGAAGATGTTGAACTGCCCTCCATTCAATATTTTGTGTGTCTAAAATTTCTAATCCTACTGAGCTTTGGAGGACAATTGTAAGGATACTGTAATCTGAATGTGGGGGGAGACCAAGTGCAAGGCCTGGTTGTGGACATGGAGGATAACAATTGACGGCAATTACATTCACTCCATCTTGAAAATTTTGGCTTAGATATGTTGGACCAAGTCCTAGGCCTTCAGTGATTATGCCCATGATCTTAATGGCTAACTTTTGTACTTCCTCTGTATATTTACCCATCTTTTCCCTGTCATTCAACATTTAGACTTATTCCTTAAATTGTTTTGAAACAAGCACGTATAAAGGGGGAAAAAGTTAACAAAAATGTAAGGGATACAATGTTAATTAATCCATTAATTTACATACATCTGATGTCTAGCAGAGGAGAGAATGCCTAAATATTTAATTTTCTATATTGGAAAGTCAGCTGGAACTACGTTCAAATATATTAGCTTCAGCCTTCAAGTTTCTCTCCATGTGGAGCATCATTTACTATATAAGAAATAAACACAATCGTTTTTCTACTCCATTATACTAAAAATATATTTTCACTTTTACTTGTTCATTTTAGCAAATCAAGAAAAAAATAATTTTTTTTTCCCTGTTTTATCTTATAATTAACTACTCATTCTCCCAAATAATTTTCCAAAACTTTTTGAAATGCTATTATTATTATGGGTAAAATTATAAAATACATACTTCATTTATTTTTTCTTAAAGAGAGTGTAAAATCAAAAGTGGATCACTAAAAATGAACAGAGGAATTATTTTATTCGTTGCATGATTTCAGGAATATCATATGAAACAACTAAATACAGACATTTGAAATTTATAAACATACATGAGCCTGTGATTAGCACGTGCAACCTAGTTGACTACATCAAATTTAAATCCTAAAACAGCCAGCCCTTAGATACTCCATGAAACAATAAATAATTAACATGCAGCTAAAGCAATTTGAGTACGATATACCTGTAGTCTGGTGGATTTTCAGGCCACAGTTTAATCCAATCGTTAAGAGGATTTGCATAGTGCTTAAGGAAGACCCTCCAGAACTGAACCTTATCTTCACTGTCCTTCAAGCTCGTGCCATATCGAACAGGCTTGTACACATCATTCGACATAAATTTTTCTTTGTCCTCAGTAGGCAGGTCGAAGAAACCAAAGGCAGCTGAAAGTGCTTCATCTAATATAGCCTGGGATATTCCGTGGTTGATAACCTTCAAATAAGGAAATAAGCAGAAACATTAATTAATTGCAAATAACTTTACCTATTCTCTACACTGACATGTTACAGTGTTACACTGTGAGGTTACTTAAAGGATTACTACAAGTACCTGTTACAATAGCTTAAAATATACTGATATAGCTTAAATTTTTTAATACCAATGTCAAGCTCATTGCTACGTATACTTACGTGAAAGAAACCATTGTGGCGACAAGCATTAGCAATATTTCCGATGATTATTGATCTTTGTAGGCGATTATCATAGCTCGTTATACCAGCCAAATCAACCACAGGGACTTTTGCAAACTCGGACATCAAACTAGGCCGTTGTGAAGGTGGCATCATGTAACACTTTGGGACATAGGACAGCCCCTTCTCTTGTGCAGTTTCCCCAATTGGAAATGAGCTAGAGCTTTCATTATCGTCAGCCATCTAAAAGCTGTAAGCAAAATTTGGATTATTCCTGAAACTTATGAATATAATGGTATATTAACATAATGTAGACGTACTCATTATACTTGCACTAGTTGATCATTGTGACGGTTTACATATGCATGAATTGAAACAGAACAAATGAATCCTAGCTAAGGTGAGTGACCTGATAATTAATTTACAAATTGAAGGATCCAGTTAAAGATATCACCTTCCCAATACTAACCTGTGCACACATACATCCATGACTCTTCCTCCACCACCTCTCTTGGATTATCCGTGTGTATATGGATTGGCTCCAAGAGGAGGTCCCGAACCCGAGTATCTACATTAACCATAATATCATAATATATACTATTGAGATACTACATATATACATCAACTACGGTTCATTTAATTGTATACATGTTATGCGTTTAATGTTGACCTTGTTTGTTACTACAGCAATTAAGGGTGTCCATCCACGGAACAGCTGCGCGTTGTCCCTAGGACTTGCGGAATAACAATATAATGTTGCTTTGGCGCAAAGGTCTTGTCCATGTTCATCTACAAATAAGACATTATTCACCTTTATACCTACGTAACACAAAAAAAGGCTGCTGCATGTATCAAGACCCTTGTTTTGCAGTACTGATATCATGGGTGCTGTCATTTCCAAGATTTTGGAATTTTTTAACTGATCTATTGATGGATGCTTACGAAGCAGAATACTAAGTGGCTTTGTTTCAAAATAGAAGAGACAACTTGAAGCTTTTTTGAGTTTGCATATCTACTCGATAAAATTTATTCGCATCCGGGTGTTTGTAACAAATAAACGTGACATGTATCCTGCATATGAACTTATTTAACTTGGGTTAAATTTTATCACTTAAATGATATGTATTCTTACTTTAATTTGTGGATGTTGTAAACCAAATTATTTATTTGGTACAACTATTTCCTATGGTAAGCTGCTCCGTGTAATAACAGCGTTGGATCCTGAATATTTGCGTGTTTTTTGCGACAGTCAAATCTGCAGCCTTTTTTCAGTAAAACAAGGTTCAGTTATCCGGATTCCGAGTTCAAAAAGCGGCTGCTTAATTATTTCTTTCGAAAGGAAATACTGCTGATGGAAGCATTTAATATGGATAGTGGACATATTCATTTGAATACATATATCATCTATCTAATTGTTCCACATTCTTTGTAACTTAATTTTATACCTTTCTGATATTGATTTTGAGCTCAAAAAATTGGAAGGATTTTACTGCTGATCAAATTAAATAAGATTATCACTCCAACTTTGCAGAAGATATCCAGAATTTCCAAGTGTAGCAAGAAAAAAATTAATTAATAAAAAAGAATGATTAAATTGATGCCAAAAAGCTATTAAAAGTGTAAATTTGTGTAGGAAATTTTGGGTCCACCCATAAGGGGTGCTTTAATGCTCAATAGGGTTATTATTAACCCTAGTAATCCTTTGGAAGTACACTTACAGTGTACATTAAAATATACTCTGAGCAGTATTTTTCCTCTCTCTCTCTCTCTCTCTCTCTCTCTCTCTCTCTCTCTCTCTCTCTCTCTCTCTCTCTCGCTCAATCCAGGCGAGGGTTTAGATTGTGATATAGGGGGTTGCTCCGTCACAATGTGACAACCATCATCGATCAGTGATTCCAGCCGAGGTTCATTCATCTTCCGCTTCCGCTTCACGAAGAACAAGTAAGTTCTCGTTTTATAATTTACGTACCAAATTAATATGTTTAGTTTATCGCCTTCCTACATTGGTATCAGAGCCACATGCTTGCTTTCTGGTCCAACAATAATAGATTTGTTCTGTCTTTAAGTGTTTCTATTTTGTTGTGTGCAATTGGAATGAATAAAATAATTTTGTTACACTGTTTTTAAATAAGTTTTTTGTCACGACCCTAAACCCAACATGTCGTGATGACGCCTATCATGGTACTAGAAAAGCCGACTACCCAGACATTTCCAACACTTTCAACGTTGAAATATACCAAAACAGTTTAAATAAATAGAAGTCTCATAAAACGGAATAGAATATCACAACTCGATACATAAGTTTTTTCCGAAACCGGGGTGTCACTGGGTACATAAGCATCTATACTAATATAGAGTCTGAACCGCTGTCTAAGAAACTCAAATTGAATAAATAAAACTGAGGGATAGGAGAGGAGAGTCAAGGTCTGCGGACGCCAGAGCAGCTACCTCAAAAAAAATCTCCGAAAGACCGTACGACTTTGAGAATCAACACCCACCGTATCCGAAAATACCTGGATCTGCACACGAAGTGGGGTGTAGAGTGAGTACAACCAACTCAGAAAGTAACAAGTCTAACTACTGGACTGAAAGTAGTGACGAGCTTAACAGGTACAGTCTAACTACAGGATTACACTACGGAAATGTAGACATGGTTTCAATTTTAACATTTAAAGCCCAAACAGGTAAATCATGTCATATTCAATTTAAATAAGATATGGTACAACTCGGTATCTACATGACAGTTATATATGCCAACTAAAGCATAAAGACAGAAATGAAATCATATGCATACTTTCGAAGTATCAGTCACTCAGTCCTCCCATTCATTCCATACTTTCAGAGATCTCCTTGCATATTTACTTTTGGATTACGAGGCGGTATCTCGGGAGATCCCCTACTGTTTATTCTTGTGTGCTGTGCTGCTATTCTTCTGTGGTTTTCTCTTTGTTAAATTTCTAGTCTCTTTTTACACTGCTATATTCTTCTGCCTTATTTATTATATACCAGTGAGGCCTTGACCTGACCTCGTCAACCGAAGTTAGGCTTGGCACTTACTGGGTACCGTTGTGGTGTACTCATACTACTCTTCTGCGCATGTTTTGTGTGCAGATCCAGGTACTTCTTACCAGCCTCATTATCAGTGAGCAGTGAGACTTTGGAGACTTCAAGGTATATCAGCCCGCGTCCGCAGACCTCGGAGTCCCCCTCTATTCCCTCCTATGTCGTTTACCTTTATGTACTTTCTTAGACTCTGGTGTATAGAGATACTAGTTTTCTTCTGTAGCTTGTGACTTATGATTTTGTGGGTTTTGGGAGTACTGTGTATACTAGAGTGTTGGTTATCGTACATGCCGAATGGCATCTTTATCAGTTATTTAATTATCTGTTGCAGTTAGTTGTTAAGTTTTTACTTTTATTTTCGTTATTTCCACAAATTTGTTAGGCTTACCTAGTCGTAGAGATTAGGTACCGTCACGACGTCTTACGGAGGGAGATTTGGGTCGTGACAAGTTGGTATCAGAGCTCTAGGTTCATAGGTGTCGTGAGTCACAGGCGGGTTTAGTAGAGTCTCGCGGATCGGTACGGAGAGGTTTGTACTTATCTTCGGGAGGCTATGGAACTATTAGGAAAATTTCACTTCTTTTGATTCCTTGTTGTACGAAATTTGTTAACTTTGAAATTCTAAACTTTTGTCTTCTATTCTCTCACATATGGTGAGGATACGTACAGCTGGATCAGATGACCAGGCACCCGCACCCCCTGCTAGAGCCGCGAGAGGCCGGGGCCGGGGCCAGGGTAGAGGCCTAGGACGTCCACGTGGTACAACTAGAGTACCCGCACGAGCTTCTATAGAGGAGCCACCAGTAGATCTAGTCGGAGCGCAGGCACCTCAGATGCCTGTTACTGCACCAGCTCTTCAGGAGACCCTTGCATAGTTCCTGAGCATGTTCGGTACTCTAGCTCAGGCAGGGTTGATTCCCCTTACTCCTACCACATCTTAGACCGGGGGAGGAGCATAGACTCTTACTGCCCTCACCCTAGAACAATGGGTTCAGTTCGATTAGGTTCCAGAGGTTATACCAGTACAGCCGGTAGCCCAGTTCGGCTCGAGGGTAGGGCAACAGTTTCTGAGGAGGAGTAGCGTAGGCTCGAGAGGTACAAGAAGTAACACCTTCCTACTTTCAGTGGCTTGGCATCGGAGGATGCCTAGGGTTTTCTTGAGGAGTGCCACCGTATCCTCCGTACTATGGGCGTAGCAGAGTATAGTGGGTTTTTTTCACTACGTTCCCGCTTAGAGGAGTGGCCTATCAGTGGTGGCATGCTTTTGAGTTGGGTAGTCCGGCTGAGGCAGCTTCACTTACTTGGACTCAGTTCTCGGATATGTTCTTGGGAGAGTATGTTCCCTAGAGTCTCAAGGATGCTTGGCGCCCAGAGTTTGAGCAGTTGCGCCAGGGTGCTATGACTGTGCCAGAGTATGCGCTTCATTTCAGTGATTTGATAGGAATGCACCAGCCTTGGTTGCTACAGTTCGAGAGAGGGTCCGTCGGTTTATCGAGGGGCTCCATGCCAGCATCAGGATTAGCATGGCTCGGGAGTTGGAGATGGATATCTCGTACCAGCAGGTTGTGAGTATTGCTAGGAGAGTAGAGGGGATGCTTGCTTGGGAGAGAGAGAGAGGAGAGGGAGGCCAAGAGGTCTGGAGAGACTAGCTCTTATACTGGTACTCGTGCAACTATAGTTTGCCATGGTAGGGGCTATGTGAGTTGCCTTGTTCATTTAGCACTTCCAGCCGCTAGTGGTATTCCGGCTACTCCTAGGCCCCAGGAGCCTTATTATGCATTGCTAGTATCTAGTGTACCTCCTGCACGGGGTGCTTTTAGTAGTCAGTCCAGCAGACCTAGCCCGAGCCAGCCACGCCCTTCGAGAGCTTGTTTTGAGTGTGGCGACACTCACCATATGGTGATGGGTTGCCCCAAACTTAGGAGGAGTGCTCCTCCACAGACTTCTCGGGCACCGCGTGCTCCACCGGGTCCTCAGGCTATGATTATAGCACCAGCTACCACTCCACCTGCTCAGCCAGCTTGAGGTGGAGGTCGGGGAGGTAGAGGTCGCCCTAGAGGGGGAGGTCAGGCCAGATATTATGCTCTTCATGCTCGTACAGAGGCATTTGCTTCCGACTTTATCATTACAGGTATTATTCCGGTCTGTCATAGAGATGCGTCGGTTTCATTTGATGCAGG